ACACCCACATTTTTTCTTTCTGTAGGAGTATTTTGTCAAAGTCTCCTCTTCTTGGTGGTAGGTTTAAGGCATAAATACCCTTCACCCTTAGGTCTTCTAGAGATGAGTTGTGGTGGTCTGCAAAGTGTATTGCTATAGGACTCTCTGTATCTTTATTTATTATATCTCTGAAATGTTGTCCTATGCGTATACGTAACTGTCGTTTTGTTTTCCCAACGTATGCTTTTTTACATGGGCATTCCAACATGTAAATTACTTTATCTGTATTACAATTGATAAATTGGGTAATTTCATATGACTCTGTACTCTCCAAGGCCTGGAAATGTTTAGTTTTCTCCACGTATGGGCATATGTGGCATTTACCACAGGAATACATTCCTTTTATTTTTGGTAACCCTGACATGAACGAAGTATCTTTGTTTGGTCTGTTCCTTTGAGTTTACTAAGTGGTCTTTTAAGTTTTTAGCTCTTCCTGCTGTCAGGAGTGGACGAGGGCCAACTATGTCAGTGAGTGTCGGGCATAGATTGAGAACATGCCAATGTTTTTCAAAGATGTGTCTCAACTTTGGCCAGCCTGACCCATATTGTGTGATCATTCTTACATGGTTTACCATCTTTTCTCTTGGTTCCCCCTCCTTATTGTGTTTTCCCTTTAAAATCTCTACCCTGTTTTTCTTTCCTACTTTTGTTTTACTTGTTCTGAGGGTTCTGTGCGAATATCCCCTCTGTCTAAAGCGATTATATAGGGATTTAGACTCCATTACGTAGTCTTTGTGTTCAGTGCAGTTCCTATTAATTCGCAAGAACTGTCCTGTAGGAATTCCTTTCTTGAGTGATAGGGGGTGGTGGCTGCTTGCATGAAGGAGTGTGTTAGCTGCGGTCTCCTTTCTGTAGGTTCTAGTAATCAATCTCCCGGTTCCAATCCTAATCATTAACTCCAAAAACGGAATTTCCAAGTCACTTGAATTAAATGTTAGTTTAAGGTTTCGATCATTGATATTTAATTTTGAGATAAATTATTTTAGTTGACTTTCATTGCCCTGCCATATCATCAACACATCGTCTATATACCTGAGCCATTTTTTAGCATGGCTCAGGTATGGGTGGTGGCCATAAACCACCTCCATTTCCCAGAATCCACGTTGTAAGCATGCATAGGCAGGTGCCCAAGGGGCTCCCTTTGTGCTGTCTGTAGTATGATCCAGAAAACTGAAAATAATTATTGGAGAGGGAAAATTCTAGCATCTATATGAGAAACTCGTTCTGCGCTGCCATCTCTGGATAACTTGAATCCAAGAAATATCCGACTGCTCTCAAACCCCATTCGTGTGGGATGGATGTGTACAGTGACTCTGCATCCACTCCCACAAGTACAACCTCGCTCTCTATCTTTAGATTTTCGATTTTATGTAGTACCACCCCTGTGTCTTTAATAAATGAAGGCAGCTTAAAGACCATTTCTTTTAGGAGATGGTCTAAGTATTTGCCCAAGTTTTCAATTGGACCTCCCACTGCTGACACTATGGGTCTCCCCGGTGGGTTTTTATGGATTTTTGGGATAATGTAGAACGTTGGTGTATTAAATGTATTCGTTTTAAGGAAGCCAAACTCTTTTCTTGATATTAATCCCACTTTGTTTGCCATATTGATTTTAAAATTATAGTCACTAATTAATCTTTTAAAAGGGGAGCTGTTTAGTTTCTCATAGGTTTCTGTGTCGTTCAAAAGACGTTTGGCTTCCGTTACATACATTGTCTCTGTCATAAGTACCACGTTTCCCCCTTTGTCGCTGTTCTTAATAATCAGTCCAGGTATATCTTTCAGTTCTCTAAGGGCCTTTCTTTCCATGGGGGTTAAATTATCCTTTCCTTTAATGTCCCAGGTTGTTTCTTTTAGATTTTTCTGGACAAGGTCTCTAAAGAGGGAAATATGTCTGTTGTTCGTCAGGGTTGGCATTGTTTTTGATTTCAGTTTTAAGGGGGTATTCCTCGTAAGGGGGTCTTCCAGGGGTTCTCCTTGATTCTCCTCAAGGAGAGCCTCTAGATCTTTTAGAGCCTGGATGTCTAAATCATCTTTTATACTTTTATTATTTGTTTCCAAAGATGGGGGATTGGTTACTTTCCGTTCGTGTATAAATCTTAAATATACTCTTCTCAAGAATAAATTTAGATCTTTAAAAATTCGTCCATTCCGTCCACAGGGGAAAAGGATAGACCCCTTTTTAATAGATCTATGTGATGGCTTTTTAATTCGAAATTTGTTAAGTTAATCACATTTAGGGATGTTTCTTCCCCCTTGTTTTCATCTCATTAGCAACCTGTTATTCATAAAAAATGTGTGTGTGTGTATATATATATATATATATAATTACATACTTACATATGTATATATATACAGGCAGTCCCCAGGTTACATACAAGATAGAGACTGTAGGTTTGTTCTTAAGCTGAATTTGTATGTAAGTCGGAACAGGTACATTTTCCACCCCTGCCACCAGCTATGCAGGACTACAAATTCTAGCAATACTTTATAAAACCATGCAGAATACCATCAGCTTTGTATAATGTTGCTGGGATTTGTAGTCCTGTATAGCTGGTGGTATTCAGCATTGCTGTATAATCATTATACAGCAATGCTGAATACCACCAGCCCAGCTACAGTCCCCCAATCCCCCCAAGCCAGCCATCACCCATACACTCCCCAACCTCACCTAACACATGCAGGCTGCAGCACCTCTTCTCCTGCGTCCTTGGCGGCCGGTGGAGGGGAAGGATAACAGGAGAGGGTCCTCACGAATGACCCAAACAGCAGGATGTGGCTGCCTAGCCGTGCCTGCAGATCCTCTTATCGGCTCCGCCGGGCTAAACAGTTCTCCTAAATGACAGGCAGTTGCACAGCCGCCTGTGTGCATCGGATCCCCGCACAGCCGCCGGTACCGGTACATACAGCTGTCACTCAGTGTCACCGACTTTACTGCAGTTCATTGTACAAAGTTTTTTTTACAATGAACCGCAGTAAAGTCTGTTGTCAGGGTCTGCCTGTATATATATATCTACTTGCCATTTTCTTTATTCTATATGTCTTTTTAAATATTATAAGTATTATAAGCCACATTGGTTCTTGTTATGTGTTTAAAATTATTGCACCTGGGAATACATTTTGTAATGTGTTTACATATATTTTGAAATATTCCCATTTATGTCCTGTGCCTTTTGTTAAAAATATTTTCTTCCAGTCTGTTTTGGAGAAAAGCCCTCAGCATTGGGGAATTGTCTTTTGCCTTTCCTGTATATGTTTATTTTTTACAATTTAGATTAAAGAAATCATGTAATGGTCACTGCAACCCATATTATCCTTTGTACAACCATTGTTTTTTTTTTATAAATGTTATGTAAAAATTTAATTTGTGTGAGATTTTTTCAAAACAATATAGATAACAAATAGTACAAACATTTTTAATAATAACAATTGTTTGAGTTTAACAAATCCAGCAAAGCATTATTTCTAGTCGGAACATCCTTTAACTGTCCCATAATATTGTTTTGTAATACATTTCAGACTTTTTGCTGTTTCCGGCAGTGCCATTTGACTAGTTCATTTTTGGGTAGTAAAAATCTGCAACCATTTAACTTTAAAGGAGATCTATGAGGTGAGTGATTTCCACTTATCCTCATAGTTAGAGCTGACCTGTGACAAACAAGCTGTCACAGGTTGGCTCTATTAATCTGGAAGTGAGCGAACACATACCATCGCTCGCTCACTCTCCGACCATCTCCCTGCAGACATTCATAGTCAGTCACCACTCCCTGCAGGAATTCTAACCCTCCCCACTCTGATCTTCCAGTGCTGACTAGAGGAACGGATGAGGGAGGGGGCGGGCACAGCTGGCTCTGCCTCTAGATAGGCAGAGCCAGCTGTCACTCACGCAGCTGGGTGGATCCAGACAGTATTGTCGGGATCCGTCCCAGCTGCGGCGCTCTCAGTATTTCTCGGTCAAAAGCCAGCTTTATACTGAGCTTTGTCTCCCGTAGCCCTAAAGGGACCTATGGGGAAAAACATAGTTCTCTTTTAATGCTCATTTCTACAGTGAAAATTAAATGGAGATTTTAATTGGTTGCTGTGAACAAGAAATGTTCTTGTTAGCTCACTTTTCATACAGAAGCTGCTCACTTTTCATACAGAAGCCCCATACTGGCTTAGGTATGCAATTTCTTGTTAATCATAGCAACAAATCAACTTCCAATGTTTATTCCGACAGATGCATTTATTTAAATGAAACAAGGATTCTGAAAAGTTCTTGTTTACAAACTTTTAAAATGTAAGCCCCCTTAGACAGTCTAACACACACATATACAAAAACATATATTATAATTCAATATAGTGGTGTATATTTAAAGAGGTCCTGAACTGTGGAAGCTGTGGCCAAAAATGCAAGCAGGCCACACCAGTAATGTCCGAGGGCCCCTCTGCAGCTAATCTTTTCCCCATTACTGACTTACTACGTCTTTCTAAACACTGTGTATCTGTGCTTCCTGATGTCTGGTGATCTAATAACTGCTGAGGGATTCCTCAAGAAGCAGCAGAAGAGGTTTAGGGGGCATAGATTAATAGAATTAGTAAAGTAAAAACAGGAAGACAAACAAAAGGTTACATTTCAGGGTACTGCTTAGGCACAATTAACATTTCTAGATATTCCCTATAATATAGAAAAGCTTGCCTTTTTGAGTTAAGGCCCACGTTAAGAACAAACATTATACACAAATTTGTAGTATCTTTTTTTTTATAAATCTTGTGTAAGTTGTAACTTGTGTGGCAATAAGAACTACAATTAAACATGCTATAATAGGGAGGACGAGTACAACGTATTATGCCTAAATCCTCAGAATGAATTGCTATATGCTTTCACTGAATGAATTGAACTTGTGTGCTGACTTGAAATTATATCTTAAAACTTTGACCTCAAGATATTCAATATATTTCTTTTGTAATTTTTATCCTAGACCGAATAACAGAAGTACACACAGATATCTATGTGACCAGTTTTGGGCCAGTTTCTGATACGGATATGGTAAGTTTTCTGCATATTTATATACTTTTATTATATGTACATTAATAATGTAGATCTTTGAAAAAAGATCTACTTTGACTACGAATCACTCTCCTGGTAGTATTGATTATCTGGTACCGTAATCTCTTTGGTAACTTAGATGTTTTATTATTGTGTGACCTTGCTAGTAACAGACTCTGTGATAAATGTCATCTCTGTTACTACTCCTTGATAATGAAGGTAACAGTTAACATGTAGGTAACATGGCCACTTCAGTCCAGTAACCCCTCTCATAATTTGACCCTCTTTAAAAACAGTGGTCTCTAATAACATGGCATAAATACTGCTGTAAACCCAGTCTCTGTGCTACTCTAAAGCCTCTGTTAATTTGATTTATTTCGTTGTATAACACCTCTGGGGATGTAATTCATCTGGTAGTAAGATGAGAAAGATCAAACCTGACTGTCATTCACTCAAGATGACTAGATCAGGGTTCTAATAATGTTTACCACAACTTTTGCAAAAGGAGAGCTCTGAAAAATGCCAGAGGGTAACATAGAACAGGGTTTAGGCAAAAAGGTTTAGTCACCAGCATTACTGGTGGGCCCCATGACAGACAGGCTCCTTAGCAGATATAAGAGGTTCTTTTTACCTTGATGTAAAAAAGTATTACTTTAGATTTCAATGGAATAGGTAAGATAAATAAAACCCTGTTCTTCTTTTTTTTGCCTTTATGGAGATTTTCTTTTACTGTCCTTTCCTGGAGATGCAATCGGATGTGAGAAATAAACTTTACAAAGTGTGGGGAATTCCTTTCTTAGTTGTCACTAGAAAAGTTGTCCCAATTGGAACATTTCCCCTAGTTACGAAGTTTGCAGCCCCTTAGCATGCACAAATAAGTTAGACCTACTATAGACTGAATATATAAGAGCTGAACGTCATCTATTTTCTGGAGTGCTGGTGTGTATTTTTTTTATAAAGCTTTGTGAATGTTCAGTGAAAAATGATCTTTTTCTCCTACAGAATGACTTAAAAATTGCACAGCGTGACTCCTCTAAAACCAGAGAGCAAGATAAATAGGAGTCATTCACCGTCAGCCAAGGTTTATTTCTAGAGTACACTTTAGTCTATCTATATTATCTGGGTCTGATGTTTGATTAGATCTAGGATTTCTTTTTCCGATCAGCCACACTTGTTTCTGTGTTTTTGTAACTGGATCAGATTTTTAAACAGTAAATCAAAGGAAGATGTTGATCAGTGTTGTGATAATTCTATTTGATTATTATTAAGTTGACTTCAGATTTAGTTGGGGAAAAATCAAAAGATCCAAAAAAAATCTGTAGCTTGTCTAATTTCTTAAAAATATATTTAACCTGAAAAAAAATCAGTTAAATGCTATTAAAAATATTTTTCTTAGATTTGATTAGAATATGGAATTGGGTAGGGATGCACAGATACTTTTCGAGTACCAGTGCAGATACTTGGCATTTTCATGAGAACTACCAGGATTGCAGCGGTTGCAGCTGGGACCTGGCTCTGGCGCTCCACCACTGTCCTGAAATCATTGGTCTGTATTGTTTTAGAAAAACTGTCACATGACAATAAACAAAAATGTATCAGTACTCGTACTTGTAAGTACTCGGCAAGTACCAGTACTCGTACTCGCAAAACTGGTATCTGTGCATCCCTTTATTTATATTTATAAAAACAAAATCATACATTATAACAGAGATGTACAAATCCCAGGAGATCCGTGTGCTCATTACAAATGACAGCTGCCTCCTAACTTTTGCATTTTTCTCTAGTCTAGTCTTGGAGTTCCAAAGTATCTGTACATGTACTCGTACTTGTACCGAATACTGTACTTGGTATCTGTGCAACCCTAGAATTGGGTGTATCTGGGCATGTGGTTCTGTACTTTAAAGTGTAACACCATAGATGCAGCACTTGTGAGACAGAATCATTTTTAAGAAGGCAGAGGGAACAAGACCTGTGCAATCTTAGGCCTTATTTGCTATAGTTATTGTGGTATACTGAGCAGTCCCTTAATATTCAGGATGTTCATAAGTCACTGTATTTTCTAGGTTGTTATCCAACTTGTGTTCATGTGTCAGCAGTTTAATCTGTGTTCTTCTGTAAAGTCTTTGGTAAAGATATTACCTTCATCCCACACTTTCACTGTCTATTGTTGTCTTAGATAGCTATAATTGACATCTCTAGATACTCCAATTGTGACAAGCCTTTAAAGAAGTATCACAGTATGTATTGCAGTACAGCATATGGTCTTTCAAGATGGTCTGAGTACACTCCAGAGTGTGAGATATGGTCCTAAATCGTCAGGCAGAAAACTGCATGTATAAAGCAAAACAAGTATACCCCTTAAAATTGTCTACACACATGGAAAGGGATACCTCATGGACATGGAGTGTTTTAAATCTCCATATCCTTTAATACAGTCTGAAAACTAGAGAAAATGGAAGCAATCTGACTGCAGCTGGTGTTTATATTCACATAAACTCTTCAGCGCCAGTAGCAACTGGATAAGCCACTTGACTCATGATATTATCACCAACCACTTCACCAGGGATGGCAGCCCTCCACAGGGAGTGCCGGACCTCCTCCACAGTCCATGTCAAAACAAAAAAGCAAGAAAAAGAGGGCCTTTCCCTTGTGTAATATTGTATAACATACATGTCAAACTCAAGGCCGGCTGGCCAAGACCGGCCCGCGATGGAATTATCTTTGGCCCGCATGATAATATTTAATTATCATTAGATCTGGCCCACCGGTTCACTTCCAGCTTTAAAGTTGGCCGCCGCGCAACCTGCCGCATCATTCCTGTGTCATAAAGATGGCCACCTATCGGCGGCTGCGCGGCTGTCCCTGCCTTGCCAGACCTCAGAGCAGGGATGAAGAGCTTATGGGGCCTGCGCAATGAGGAGAGAAAGCAGGGGAAACAGCCACAGAAGCGGGCACCAGATGGAAAAACTTTTTTTTGTAAGTAAATTCTTTTGTTATAAATGCACTGTACTATTTAATGTCTTTTTTTGGCTTTTATTAGTTAAATATTTAGGCTATTTCTTAAAGGGAAAGTAAATAAAAAAGTAAAAAATAAATGTTTTATTGTAATTATCATGCTTTTAATTAAATGTACAGGCTTTGTTATTATACTGTGTGATATACTGCATAGGCCGTGGTATTATACTGCGGTATTATACTGTGAACCAGCCCGGCCCTCGACTTGGAGCATTTTTAAAATTTTGGCCCACTGTGTATTTGAGTTTGACACCTCTGTTGTATAATAAACGAATTTGTATTGTATAAAAACATCCATATACTCATAAAAATACTTGAATTTATGTGCATCCATAAACCACATCAGTAAACTTTCCCATTATGAAAGCCAGAAGAAAACACAGACAAGAGACCTAGTTCACATGCAGCAGATACTTAGACTTGCAGACTGTTTTGGCAGCACTCATTTTCGGGGACACGCTCCCTTCTTCAGAGCCCCCTTGTCAATGTTTTTTTCTGGCTTTCATAATGGGAATGCTTACTGATGTGGTTTATGGATGCACATAATTTCAAGTATTTTTGTGAGTATATGGATGTTTTTATACAATGCATTATGCATTTTCTTCCTTTTTGCAGCTGGTGTTTGTAAATGCCCAGCATATCAGAAAATAGCTATTCATCTACATGCCATATGTAAAGAAAGATAAGAGTTATGGAACCATAAGTATAGTCTATATATTATATAGATATATTTGCAATCAGAAGAGCTACATTCTTGCTTATAGGTGATAAGCTAGTAGTAGTTTCACAGCTTATTCAAACTACCTCCTCAACTAAAAATTAGAAGTGAAGAAGCTACTTGGATAAGCAGTGACACCTCTTCAACATTACAGAACAACTCTATTTGAATGTGAACAGCCACTACTAGCTATACAATGACCTGGATAAATGAAAACATTCCTATGGTTTAACAATAGCCACAGCAGCCCACTGGGCTGCTTTGGTGCTGGTGGGTGGAAAGGACCATATTAGGGGGCTGTTGAGACTTTTTTTAATTACTATTATTTCTTTGTTTTCTATATAATAAACACAATTACATAAATATTATTCTGTTGAAGCATTTTTTATGAATTGTTTTTATTCATTTGCAATAAGAAAAGAATGGTACAAACCCAAATGAGCCACATTGCCCAAGGGAGTACCCCATAGGAAGAAACATACATCAACCTAACATAGGTAAAACAATCTAGCTCACGCGTAACATTCCTAGCTCCAGGATCAACCAAAAAGAGGAGAGATTTATTCCAGTTCACATGCAGACCATAAATCCTAGAGAAATCAGTTAACACCCAAAGCACTCCCTGCAGGAATGGTCCCGTATAATTCAGGAATAAAAGTAGGTTGTCCGTGTTCAGGGTCACCCTCTCCTCAACCAGCCCACTGTTAGACCCTTAATGTGTGGTGTGCCCTGGAGAGCCTTCACAATGAGATCCCTTGCACTAAAAATAATTTCAGGAAGTGAGGGACGCCCTCCCATTTCCCCAACTGAAAAGGAAAAAAAAGGGAAAAGATACCCTCCCATTCAGGTAGTAGCAGCGCTTTAACTCTACAACAATTGTAACTACTGAATAAATTGATAGGGAAAACCTATTTTTAAGTATTTCCCGTAGGTAGGGCCACTCTAACATATCAAAGGTCTTCTCTATATTTAAGGAGGCTATCGTTCTGGTGCCTGTGTTGGAATGAGCATTGTGTTTGTTAGTGAACAAGTGGTATATCTTGATATCTGTTGAATTGTAAGGAATAAATCCCTTGAGATCTGAGCCTAAGTTAGGGAAAAGTTGGTTTAGCCTCATAAAGATAATTTTTGTGAGGATTTTCACATGACTAATAATGCAATTTGGTTTATACAAGTTAAATGAATTTGGATCATTTGGTGCTTTGGGTGGTAGAATGTTTTCTTTGAGGCAGCTGGCACAGCAGGTGCATAAATGTGGGGCTAGTAT